ATTTCTCGACAACTTCTTCACGAGAGCCTTCCTGTACTCTGGCAGCGATTCGGAAAGCTGACAGGCTAACGACTGCAGCATCACTTTGGGATTCCTTCGCCGTGCCATGTTATGCCGACAGAAGTGGCTCCCTGACAATCGTCCAGCCTCTAACATCTTTTGGCACAAGACAGCTGAGATTACAGACTTTCCCATTCCAGCATTCCCGCTGATAACAATCACTCTATTTGGAGAACTTTTGTCGGCTAACCACCTCTCGACTTCTTTAAGAATCGATAAACGAGTTCCCTCAACATATCTGCTTGCATGGCGTCTTATTTCAGCTAAATTGTCCACCTTTGCTAGTTTCGCAAGGACTTTGTCATCCCTGATGCTCTCATTCTCGTCATTCAAATTTTGAATGATGTGCTGGGATGCCTCCTCCAAAGTTTGAAGTTTCTCGGAGACTTTTTCAACTGTTAACTTGGTATCTTGAATGGCTTTACTGTCTTGAAGTTGATTCTGATGCACAATACTGACAGATTCTTGCAAGTTCTTCTGCAACTGATGAACTTCTACCAGCTTTGCTTTACTTTCACGAATAGTTTCGTGATCAAATGACTGAATCTGCCGTACTTCATCAACAGTTTGCAGCACTTTGGTCTCAGTATCCCGTATGTCCTTCAGCTGTGATTTTATATCTTCCTCAGAATCAGTCCACTCAAGCAACGCGTCTAAGAACTCTTGCTCTCCACAATGCTCAGCCTTCAATCTATCAATTTCTGCTTGCTGCAAGCCAAGAGCAACAAGGACAACACTGATCTCATGCCACAGAGTTGAGAAAGTTGGATCAGCCATACCAGTTGTGGTAACATGGCCATACATTTTATTGCGGTAAAACTTTATGCGAGCAAGATTTGCTTCAAGGGAATTGTCATTTGGAGGTGGTTTTTTGTGCCACTTAGAGGGGGGTGGGGAGAGACCACAAATGGTGGTTAAGAGAAGGAATAAAAGAGTGATATCAAATGTTTGGGAGTCTGGAGGAGCACCGCTTGGAGGAAACAATAGATCCCATTGTGATCTGTGTAAAATTCGTTTCTTTAAGAGAGTATTCAGAGTTGAATAGTTTGCAATCAACGCGGCTGAAAGACTTGCTGGGGGATGATATCCATTGAAAACGTTCCTGA